CATTAAGTTTCGGCTAACCAACTATATCTGCCCGCAGTACGCTCTTGCCAACGGGATAATGCGGCCAATTATACCATGTTTCGATATCTTTTAAGCAAAGTGGAAAGGTTCGTCATTTTCTCTGGATGTAAATATCAATTCCCTGCCAGTTCGACGCACGTCCGCTGGCTAAAATATTTCAGCATAAATCATCGGCCTTACCGGAATTGCTCCTCTTATATTTTGAGACAATGGGGACCGTCACAAAGAGCTATGCTCAGTATTCAAGTATGGTCATGGCTTATGGACATACGCAAAATTTTATGCAGGACATTGATGCATGCGGCAAGCGATGGGAGGGGGTGGCTCAAATGAAATTTTCCTCTGAAATCCGACTTTTACGTGACCAGGGGTGGATTTATCGCTTTATTGCAGTAAAAGTGTTTTTCTGAAATATTGCGCTTTTGTCATCAGGCGCATTTGGTAGCCCTACATTATGCCGCAATGAATTGTCGCCTTCAAGTTTTAATAGCATGATCAATTTTAGGATCTAGCCGTCTTAAGTGCAGATTAGCATTCCATGCAACGTTTTTAGAACCTAAAACTGTTTGCCGGGTGCCGTCATTCGCAAGGAACAGTCGCGAGCAAAGCGCCTGAGGTTCCGTCGCGAGTCACGAACGACCCTGGGGTAAACTGGTTGCAGGTGCCGCTCCATCCGAGTTTGCTTCTGAAGGGTAAGGGTGGACGAGGTGCATTGTTTGGTGATGGCGACTGTTGCCATTAATGGGCGTTTAAACCCCAGTCAACATCATTATCATCGTCAGTTTTCCACTTCTTCCACCGGTTATATTGTTTATCGTCCCCAGGGGCGTGCGTAAGGGGTACGTGGGGTTCTAGTACAGAATGTTTCCGCAGTCCGCCGACCTTGCAAGCTTTTCACCCCTCCATCCTCCTTTATACGGCCTGGCTCTCCACTTTCCCTGCACTCAATAGCAGTGCTGGCTGCTGGATGTTGCGCATGAGGGCATTTCCTGTCTGAAGTCGTGAGTCGCCGTGGCTGGTTGTGGGGTGTGACTGTTAACTATAAATTAGTGTGTTTTTGTGACAGTCCTAACAGACTGAAGTGATACAGGTCACAGAGGCTGCACTTCCTTAATTTAGGGTCTCACTCTTATCTGAGCTTGGTAATGTGCTCTTGTATTGCTTGTTTTTGCATGATTTTAGCATGACTTATGGAATGGGGATCAGTGAACATGAGATGTTTAGGAATTAAATAGCACATATGGTAAATTAAATATGTGGTAAAGGCTAGTGTGCTTTTGACCCAGGGTACTTAATGATAATGAACATAACCTGCTCATGCATTTGAAAGGTGGCATACAACTAACAAGAAAGGTGCATAAAAAACTTGTGCTGTGTGCAAGAAAGTCTACCAGGTTTTAAATAACTTATTTTTACACATTCTAAAGGGCTTTTTTATCTCAGATTTCTTTCATGCTTTCTATGCCAAGGAGTGTTGAAAGTTGTATGGCAGCATGTGATGTCAGTGGCAAAAGCTTTCATAGTCATTTTGTATTCACAGCTGAGGCTGGCAGTTTTCTGTCTTGTAGGCTGTTGTGGTGTAAGTGAATGACTGGCATGTATACAAGTCTTTGTCACATTAGATTAGATCACACAAAGTCACCATTAATGGTCAAGTGAAGTCATCCAAAAATATTCGGGCAAAATACTTTGTTACACCTATTTATAATATGAAATCAGTATGATGGATTGATTTGCAGAGTAATAACTCAGGTGTAGCTTATGAATGTCTCCAACCTTTCCATCATATCCTACCAATGCCTGCAGACATCTTGGTCCACTCTACTGCACTGCCTGTCTGGGGGGGGGGGGGGGGGGGGGGGGGGGGGGGGTGTCACCACCTTTCCAGGAACTGTGTAGGATGTCTGGAATGCAATGCTTTTAGGCATTTATGTTTTGTTTGTCATGCTGTCAGACATGTCCTGTATCATTGTAGATCCTGTGCAAACTGCTAGCAAAGCAATATTTTAGGACACAATATGGCAAATTAAGTTTGAAACAAATGGAGGAGCAGTTACTCATATAGCTGCCATAGTAGGGTCACCAGCACCAGCAGAGATGGCCCAGAAAATATTGTATTTTTTTCTATGCTTTTTGTTGACATTAACCAGGCAGTGGCAACTGATGGGTGTTCCTGCCCCATCACTGTGATTTTGATCCATTTATTTGGTGTGTGCATTTTGACTGTCAACATTAGCAGAGGCACTTGTGCTCATTCTAACTCAATCATCACTGCCACCATCCATCACCAGCATTTTGGTCTGCATCACCCTTTTGAGTGGTCATTTGCCATGTCCAGAACCCTCACCAATTTCGAGCATTCTCGTCATGTGCTGTTCGCTCAGGCCCGCTCCCCACCCGGCAGATCTGAGCCGGTGCCGAAGCTGTGAGCGGCTGCCGACCTAGCGTCACGCTGGCAGCCATGGAGGCCCTGCGGCCGCATCTGGACGGGCTCCGCGCGCCCGGACCCGACTCCAAGGTCTACAAAGATCAGTGCATCTACTCGTTCGACACGCCCGAGTCGCCGGGCGGCCTGTACGTGTGCATGCGCTCGTTCCTGGGCGTGGCGCGCGACCGGCTGGAGGCGTTCAGCGCGCGCACCGGCAGCCGCGTGTTCCTGCACGTGGTGCACGTGCGCCACCCCGCCGCCGCCGCCGGCCGCCGACGAGCCCGAGAAGAAGGTGACGCGGCTGGGCCATCGGCGTCGAGGGCGGCTTCGACGGTTGAGGCGCAGCGCGGCCGCCTGGAGCGGCGGCACGCGCTGGTGCTGGTGCCCAGGCTGCCACACGCTGCCGCTACCCCCTGCGACGAGCTGCCTGCGGCGGCGGCAGGCGGCCCGTGGCCGCCGGTGCTGGCGGCCGACTCGGCCAGCCGGCGCGAGGAGCTGCGGCAGGCCACCGGCACGTGGGACGGCGAGGTGCGGGTGGTCTCGCGCCATGCCGAGACGCTCCGGCAGCTGGAGAACGGCGTGCGCGTGGCGCCGCGCGGCTGGCAGTGTCAGCAGTGCGACAAGACGGACAACCTCTGGGCTCAACCTGACCGACGGAGCGATCCTCTGTTGGCGAAGGTTCTTCGATGGCACGGGCGGCAACAACCACGCGGTCCGAGTACTACCAGAAGACGGGCTACCCGCTGGCCGTGAAGCTGGGGACGATCAGCGCCGACGGCCGCGCCGACGTCTTCTCCTACGACGAGGACGACATGGTGCTGGACCCGCAACTGGGCCGCCACCCTCGCCCACTTCGGCATCAACGTGCAGGCGATGGAGAAGACGGACAAGTCGATGGTCGAGCTGGAGATCGAGATGAACAAGCGCGTGGGCGAGTGGGCCACGATCCAGGAGGAAGGTGAGCAGCTGAAGCCGCTGTACGGGCCCGGCTACACGGGTCTGCGCAACCTGGGCAACTCGTGCTACATGAACAGCGTGATGCAGGTGATGTTCACGGTGCCGGACTTTGTCGAGCGGGTACTTCGCCGGCGCCGAGGCAACGCTGGCGGCGCTCGAGCCGGCGCGCGTGCCGGACGACTTCGACGCGCAGATGTGCAAGCTGGCCGCAGGGCCTGCTGTCGGGGCGGTACTCGCAGCAGCCGGAGGAGCCGGCCGCCGCCGCCGCCGGTCAGCCGGGCATCGAGCCGTTCACCTTCAAGAGCGTGGTGGGGCGCGGCCACGCGGAGTTCTCCGGCAAGCGGCAGCAGGACGCGCAGGAGTTCATCCTGCACCTCATCAACCTGGTGTCGCGCGCCTCGCGGCATCGCACCGACCCGACCGACGCGCTCCGGTTCCGCGTGGAGGAGCGCGTCGAGTGCACTGGCTCGCACCGCGTCAAGTACTCGGACCGCACCGAGTTCTTCCTGCCGCTGCATATCCCGCTGGAAGCGGCCACGAACAAGGAGGCCGTGCGCGAGTACGAGGCGCGCAAGGCGGCGGCCGGCGGCGCCGACGCCGGCCCGCCGGTGCGCGCGAACATCCCCTTCGAGGCGTGTCTGGAGGCGTTCGCCGCCGAGCGTCGCGTCGAGCAGTTCTACTCGACGGCGCTGGACGCGAAGACGACGGCGCTGCAGACGGTGCGGCTGGCCTCGTTCCCCGACTTCCTGCTGGTGCAGCTGCAGAAGTTCACCGTCGGCGACGACTGGCTGCCCAAGAAGCTGGACGTGGCGGTGGCGATGCCGGACGAGCTGGACCTGAGCTGCCTGCGCGGCGGCGGCCTGCAGCCGGGCGAGGAGCTGCTGCCGGAGCCGGCGGCGCAGCTGGCGGCCGCCGAGCCGCAGCTGGACACCGCCGTGCTGGCGCAGCTGGCCGACATGGGCTTCCCGACAGAGGCCTGCCGCCGCGCGCTCTACAACACGCAGAACTCGGGCGTCGAAACCGCCATGAACTGGATCATGGAGCACATGACGGACGAGGACTTCGCGGCGCCGTTCGTCGTGCCGGGCACGCAGCCGGCGGCCGGCGCCTTCCGCGCCGACCCGGAGGCGGTAGCGCTGATCGTGTCGATGGGCTTCACCACCCTCGCAGGCGGAGCGCGCGCTGCGCGAGACGGACAACAGCGTCGAGCGCGCCGCCGACTGGATCTTCAGCCACCAGGCCGAGCTGGGGCGAGGAGCCGACGCCGGCCGGCGAGCATTACCGCGACGGCGCCGGCAAGTACCAGCTGGTCGCCTTCATTTCCCACATGGGGAGCAGCACGATGGTGGGGCACTACGTGTGCCACATCCTCAAGGACGGCCGCTGGTGCATCTTCACGACGAGAAGGTGGCGGAGAGCCGCCGGCCCCCGCGTGAGCTCGCCTACCTCTACCTGTACCGGCGCTGCCAGTAGTACCGCCTCGCCGCCGCCGCCGCCGCCGCTCGGCGCGGCTTTCGTGCTGCTATGTGAGGGCACCCCCGCCCCGGGCTGGCATGACAGCCGCAGCCCGACAAGGAGCGGATGGGCAGTCCCGTCACCGCGCTGGACGGACGCCCGCCCGGCCGGCGTCCTCGGCCTCGCGCAGACGAAGTGCACCGTTCGCAGATGATCGGACAGCGCCACGCCGACCTGTTTCGATAGCGAGGTACGGCAGCTGCCGGTTGATCTCCTGCCGGTTGAGGCGGGTGACAAGGCATCACGCCCCCGCGCGGAATTGGCATCGAGTGCTCGCGCGGAGTTGGCAATCGCGTGCTCGCGCGGCGTCGGGATCGTGCGCTTGCGCCGAGTTGGCATCACGTGCTCGCACGGCGTTGGCATCAAGCGCTCGCGCGGAGTTGGCAATCGAGTGCTCGCGCGGAATTGGCATCGCGTGCTCGCGCGGAGTTGAGATCGTGCGCTCGCGCGGAGTTGGGATCGCGCTCTCGCGCGGAGTTGGGATCGCGCGCTCGCGTGGCTAACTTCTCACTGCGCACGTGTGCCTCGCACACGGCAGTTGGGTGATACACTTCTGCTCTGGTGTGCGCCGCTCTCCCGTGCTCTGCAAGTGAGAGCCGACGGACGAGTGTTCAATATACCTGCGTTCATGAGTTCGCCGGGCGTGTCGCGCAGCGGTTGTCGCGGTGAGGAGCTCATGCGTCGGTGTCCTCCGCGGGGCCGGCGATCGACCGCCCTGCAAAGGCCCTCATCAATTCCGCCGACCTGGATAACGTTGCGCCAGGGCTTGCAGAAGGCAACGCGGCGGTGGCGTTTTTGTCTTTAGAGGTGACCCCAGGCTGCTCCACTTTTTCCCCCTGCCACGTCACGCGTAGTGATATGGCTCGTTTGAAGCGCCCCGTGACTTAAGCTCGGCGGCAGGCTTCTTCCGGTCGGGGCGGTGGGGGGTGGGGGGGAGGGGGGAAGCTTCAACAACAGCATACGGTCGGAGGAAGCACCGAGTGTCCTGTGCTTTTTGGGCGGGGGACGGTTGGTTCAGAACTCACACTAGGCGGGTCCCACGTTATCATCCGGAGAATCTTGAGCGGAGGTCGCAGGGACCGCTCACCTGCGCGAACATCGGGGAGAGCAACCGTATAGGAAACTGGAAACCTGACTGGAAAGCAACACCGTGCAGATTTTAAAGTGATAAAAGCAGGATGGGCCCTCGGGTGGGGGGGGGGGGTCTGATAGTTAGGACCCTGGGGGTTCAGGCCCGATGGATGTTCTTCAGCCACCGCACAGTTGGGAGAGTGGAAGCTGCAGCACACACGCTCCACGCTACGGGAGGGTATTTTCTTGAGAACCAGCGCAAAGGTGGGCTCCTCCCAGATGGATGACGAGTCTCCGCTCAGAACCATAAACTGACGAAGCACATGGTACCAGGTCAGTCAGTCAGTCAGTCAGTCAGCCAACCAACCAGGCAAGCAAGTCAGGCCTGCGTCACATTTGTGCTTCACCACAAACACGGCTCACGTATTCACTCGCCACCGGTAGCGCGACTCGCTCGGTTTGGCGAGAAGTGCGCCACATTTTCTTCCCGCTCGGGTTGACCGGCGGCTTCGCGCTGCCGTTCTCTTGCAGAGCCGGGCCCAGGGCTGCGGCCCTCTGTTACGTCACAGCCGTGCCGGGCTCGCGGCCCTCTGTTGTGTCACAGCCGAGCCGGGCTCGAGGGCTTGCGGCCCTCTGTTGCGTCACAGCCGAGCCAGACTCGCAAGTTCGCGAGCTCGCGGCCCTCTGTTGCGTCACAGCCGTGCCGTGGACGTGGAAATGTATTGATCACCGTGTGACTGGCTCCAGGTCAACCCGGTGAAAGCTCTGTACCAAAGCGAATCGGAACGCCGTCTATGAACCGCGACCTGGTGCCGGCACGGAAAAGCGAGGCGTCAGACAAGCGGTATATGCACTCATTATCCGAGCATTATGAGCAATGAGGGCAAACAAAGCACGTGTGTCAGGGAACTTAACAGGTTTTTAAAGCGAGCTGTTGGCAGGGAATACCGGGTTACAAACCGGTCGATTGGGGCGGAGGTGGCGCGAGGGTTTGAATAATTGATGCGTTCTGATGCGAACAGTCTTCAGTCGTGCAGTATCATCGACCCCTGGCAGGATTCGAATCGGACATTATTCGGAATCTGTCTCGGCTGCTGCGAAATAACCATCTAACGGTGCCAGGAAGGGGCACCTGCTATACACGGAACACACACGCGCGCCCACGCGCACGCGGGCATGCGCGCACGCACTCGCGTTCATGAGCGCTCGCACTCGCATGCACCCGCAATCAGACACCACGTAACTACAACGGCGGGTAAACACGAACATACGTGAACGTAACATGCACCCTACATGACTAACATGTTCTCTGCCCTATGTATTCGTCGCGCTTTTTATTGCCCTACTTTGCGATTTAAACAACCAAGCTCCTACGCCTTTACCTACTTTCCAGAGCAAAAATTGTTGAGCGGCGATTCTGCGCGATTGCTCACACATCAACTTCGGACATAGCACAGACGCTCGTGACATTCATTTCGCAGCATCTTCCAGCTGCGCAGGGCACACACCAGACCACGCGAAACGCTGTCAACTTTGCGATTTAAACAACCAAGCTCCTACGCCTTTACCTACTTTCCAGAGCAAAAATTGTTGAGCGGCGATTCTGCGCGATTGCTCACACATCAACTTCGGACATAGCACAGGCGCTCGTGACATTCATTTCGCAGCATCTTCCAGCTGCGCAGGGCACACACCAGACCACGCGAAACGCTGTCAACCAGGGTCAGCAGGCATTATTTCAGCAGGTGCGCCTCTCACACTCTGTCAGTGACAATATCTAGGATAAATGCTTTTAAAAACATGCTTTGCGGACAAGCATGTGGCAAAATGCCCAAGTCTCTCCCTCATATCATTCGCTCTTTGACACCCGACGCCTGTACGACCATAAGCCGAGCGTCCATTGCCCACACCGTCGCGAGGCGACACACGGTTAAACAACTCAACGCCGGCTGCCATCAGCCCCTCCCCCCCCCCCCCCTATGAGTATCCAACGGGAAATCTGGCCTAGACTGCCTGAGCGCGTGCGCATGATGCGTACTTGCATGACATCCCGCGTGGAATATGCGGTCAAGAAGTGCTCGACGCACGCCTAAAAGGGCCAACGGGGATTCCCTGGAGTGATTCCAAGCATGCTGTGTGAACCGCGCGCGCGTGCACGAGCTCTGTGCGCGTAATACATCGGGTTCTGGCAGTGTCGCTTCACTTCCAGCTCTGTCGAGGGGTTTTCAAGAGGACGCGCATCTTGTCACGAATGGTCGGGCGCGGCTGGGCGCGTCACGCAGTATCCAGTGAACGAGCACGCGCATGCATAAATATGGCGCTAAACCTAATTTGTACACGTTATGATACATAACCACGAAGCCCGATGATAAGCGAATGGTAAATTCGGAAAAGGACACGTTCGGGTCTGCCTGTGATGGACTCCATCCGCACGCATGACAGATATCAGGCTCCTTCGCATACAAACGCAAATCGTTATGAAAATAAATATGCGTGGCATTTGTACACAATATCTGAGGACATGTACGTTAAAAGAAGCTGAGCAGGCCCCGAGACTCGTCGCGTAGAAACGTTAACCTTTATCACATTGTCGATAAGTCAAAATACAAAATCATTGCGTAGAAATAGCCAAGCCTGCAAAGAAACATGCAAGACCAGCCATCCACTAACCTCATCTCACTAGAGCGCACCACATCTCCCCCGCTCCGAGCAACACGTCGAACGGTTCCTTCCAGGCGCCAGCCGAAGCTGCAGCGCCATCTGCGTGGAACAGCACCACGCGCGACCGCTGGCGCCACCTACACCTTCGGCGCCGCCGTCTTCTGTGCGCCGTCGTTCCCAGCCGCCGGCGCTCGCGCGCCGTTCGCGTCCTTCGCCTGGCCGTCCAGCACGTGCACGTGCACGTCGTTGACGACCGCGGTAGACGGGCGGCGGGTGTGCACCGGCGGCAGCGGCGAGCCGCCGGCCGGCGCCGGCGGCTGGCGGCGCGGCGCCGCCGGCGTCAGCATCGACTCAGGGTCGCGCACGAGGCGGCCGCCGCTGCGCGAGCGCGCCAGCCGGCCCGTGACGTACTTGCCGAGCGAGTCCTCCTCGCGCCGCGTGATGACGCGGTTGATGAGCGTCAGCACGCCGCCGAGCACGACGAAGAACGTGCCGGTGCCGACGAGGTCGTACGCCTCGGCCTTCTCCATGTAGCCGGGGATCATGGCCGTGATGACCATGAGGAAGCCGATGACGAGGAACACCAGGCCAATGTGGAAAAGCGTGATGCCCCAGATGAGGCCGCTGGGCTGCGCCAGCGACTGTGTGGATGGTCGGCGCAGCTGCTCGGTGGCGCCCTCCAGCGAGAGGCTCGTGCCGCGCCGCTGCTGTGCCTCCAGGCGGCTGCGCTGGCGGCGCAGCGCTGCGCCCTGCACACCGCGCATCGCCGCTCAGAGGTCCGCCTGCGGACACGGGAAGAGGCTTAGAGGCCCACCTGAGGATACGGGGAGAGGCTCAGAGGTCCGTCTCCTGAGGATACGGGGAGAGGCTCAGAGGTCCGTCTGAGGACACGGGGAGGGGCTCAAAGGTCTGCCGGAGGACACGGGGAGGGGCTCAACGGTCTGCCAGAGGGCACGGGGAGGGGCCCAAAGGTCTGCCAGAGGGCACGGGGAGAGACTCAGAGGTCCGTCTCCTGAGGATACGGGGAGAGGCCCAGAGGTCCGTCTGAGGACACGGGGAGAGGCTCAGAGGTCCGTCTCCTGAGGATACGGGGAGAGGCCCAGAGGTCCGTCTGAGGACACGGGGAGAGACTCAGAGGTCCGTCTCCTGAGGATACGGGGAGAGGCCCAGAGGTCCGTCTGAGGACACGGGGAGAGACTCAGAGGTCCGTCTCCTGAGGATACGGGGAGAGGCCCAGAGGTCCGCCTGAGGGCGCAGGGAGATGCTCATTAGCCGTTCAAATTACACTCACAGAAGAACTGTACCAACATCTCCACCCGGGTAACATGATATCGCTGGCAGACTGACAAGAAAGGCTGCGCTTGTGCTCAGCCTCTCAAGATACGACTGTAAGCAGTCGATAAATAATTAAGCATGCATAGCTGTAACGAACTGAGCGAATAGATTATGGAATTATTGTAAATCCATACGTTCATCCGTTCTGCCTGTCATGCAGCATTTTCCATAAACGGATAATGAGAACCATGTGGCCGTGCTTTGGATGAGGAGCGGAGAGAGGGAAGGTACTAGGCGGTCTCCCGCCCGTCTTAACTTTACGTTGGATGACGTCAACATGCTCAATTACCTCGCACTGAAACGCTTTAAAATCCGCGGACCACTCTTACACATTTTTTCTCTATGCCATTACCCATTTGCGGTCACTGCCGGCCTCAGAGGAAGTTCACGCAAAGGTTCATGCCCGCGCGCTGGTATGGCCACTGGGGTCAGCGTCGCTTCTTAAAGGGTGCGCGACGACCCGCGTGGCGTTCCCTACAAAAAATATTCGGGGCGTACTTCTGTAGCTAACTTCGAGCACCTAGGTAAACTCTCTTCTCAGGCTTTCTGCACGCGTGTTCTTGCAATAGGCTATCATACGCTAACATGCCCCGCATACGCCCGTCAGTGACGCGATCAGGGCGTCTCCCCGCAGCTTTGAGCGGGCTGGCGGAATTGATGTGTGCCATGCAGGCGCGAGACGGCCGGGCGTGTCATGCAGGCACGAGACGGCCACGTGTACCATGCAGACGGCTTGACCTCGAATGGAGCCGGAATTGACTCCGATATTGAACACTTTTGCGGGGTGAGGGAGGATTTCCTTGGTGCTTCGCCGTGACCTGTGGGCGGAGCTGAGTCAAACGAGTCGTCGGTGAATCGACTCAAATGGCAATGCAAGTAGCTGGATATGTTCAAGCCTTACAGACGAAATATGCGCATAATGGGGTGGGATATGTGAGTGCATTGTTTTCAAATTGAACGTGTCATTTATGTGTCGCGTGTCAGGCTTTTATAAGGATTATAGGTCGGGTTGCCTCCTTGACTTTTGTTTCCGGAAACAAATCATTGGAATCGGCTCCGGAACCAAGCCTGGTCTCCTTGAGTTGGAACTAGAGTACAATCCAATTTGCGCTCGCCTGCACGGGTCGGAATCGTGAGCCAGAATCGGAATCGATTCCAGCCAAGGGATATCAGGGCCAAGCCTGCTAGCACGGCTGTCCACTGCATAGGAAAATGGTTGTCTCGCCATAACAAATGTCGCATTACAGCGTCCTTTAAATGGGTGTGAAACTGCCAAGAATATGTTGGCGATCTCAACGGCGATCGGTAGGAGTGGTCAGGGACACATCCAGGATTTTTACGGGGAAGGAGAAGAGGGGAGCAGCTTGATGGGCACCCATCCTGAGATAACCAATGGAGCCCACTAGATGGTGCCTAGGTAAAACAAAATGCAGACCTAATGGCTACATATAAAACGAGTCTCGCGTACAACAGGCCGTGGATCCGCCGTCTCCGGAGGCTTTTAGAGATTTGCATCGTATCTCCGGACCTCGAGCAGGGCAAGAAGTGAGACCGTACTGATGTGTGCAGGAGGCTGCCGCATGTAATTGGTTGTAAGTGGCTTATAAGTTCCAAAACTCAGGCACCACGTTATTCTTCGCGACGTTACCGTTTTACCGCCAGGCCCGTTCTGGTTCAACCAGGTAGGCGAACCAGAAGCGCGTTCGTACCTGTCTCGCGCAAACGGGTGGGCTAAGTCTGACGCAAAGTGTAACGAACAAGCTCTTATAGCAATAGTGCCAATCGAGTACCGAAGATGGCATTCGCGAGCAAAATGGTGAGCGTACACGAGCTGGCGACATTACCGGCGACTTTATCCCGACTCTGCCAGAACGTGCCATAAGCGCCAAGTCACACTGAAACATCCGCTGAAAAACCGAAACCGCCACATTGAAACTTTTCCCACGCGGAGGGTTCCGACATGGAACATTTAACCAAACGCTGAAAACAAATATTTACACAATAAAAGCGAGCAGATCCTACACCGCTAAAGGGTGAAGGGTTCCACTCCCAAAAGGACGCTCACACAATGACGGCCGTCCAAATATTGACAGTGGCGGGGGTCGCCTGCGGCGGTGGCGGCCGCCGGCCTGCGGGGCGCCGGGGAACGGGACGCCGGGAACAGCAAGAGGCACTCGTCCAGAGGTCGTGCCTGGGGTGCCGAGCGAGGATCCGGCCCGCCCGTCCGTCAGGTCAGAGCGGACCGAGGAAGGAGGGGGAGGAGCGAGGTCGGCCCGGCGCATGCAACGGTGGGAGGTTGGTCGTAGAGCTGCACGAGAAAACGAGGATGTGCACATTTATAGCGTTTTTTAGGGTTAATCCGAACCTTTTGAGTGCATGGATTTCCGGGATCAGAGCTCACGCTGAGCAGCGCACGTTGAATGAACCCTGATCCATACCCCCTGACCCGTGCGATCGGATCATGCAATTCCAGGTCAACGGCAGAATTTTGTGGCCAAGTTGGCGTGGTGCAATATTCGGCGCGGTCCGTCCTGCCTTTGACGTCACCTGACCTCGGGTGCGAACGCTGCCACCGGTCGCAGCCAAGTCTGTGAAGGATAGCGATATAGCGAGCGCCTAAAGCGACTTGAACTCAGCCCACCATGGGTGGGTGGATCGGAAGGCAGACACTTTAACCAGCTGAGCTATCGAGCTGGGCACATGTAATGAAACGTTGAAACCTAAGAGTTAAAACACGTCGTTTTGAATATATCTTAATAGGGCAGCAGCTATGGCGGGCTCGCTAAATGCGCCGTAAGCCCTGCTCACCACGCTCTCCAGATGCCACGCCATCACGATTATCAGTTTGAGGGAAGCGCAGCGAATATAAACGGGCAGCTAGTGCAAAGTTATGTGCTGATGAGAAGGTAGCATACCAATATAAAGAACACGAGATGGCAACACGCACGAAAAGTTATCGGCGATAGAACTTTACGGCGATTTATTGCCCCATTCGTCTCCTCTTAATATGTTCCGGCAATAGTTTCACTACGCCCCCTCCCAAAGCGCACATATCTCATGTTCGATCACTGAACTAATGGAATACGCCCATCGGCGCCACGGAAGACCATCGGTTTGATAGCGAAACTGTTCATTTAAAGGTTCATTTAAAGTGGATGGCGGTGTTGTCCACACACGATTAGCAGGGGTGGACGTGGCTGTTCCCTGTCCACTGCCCACTGTCCGCTGTCCACTGTCCGCTGTTCACTGTCCACTGTCCACTTACCACTTTCCACTGTCCGCTGTCCACTGTCCACTGTCCACTGTCCACTGTCCATTGTCCACTGTCCACTGTCTACTGTACACTGTTCACTGTCCACTGGCCACTGTTCACTGACCCGCTGTTCACTGTCCACTCCACCGTCCGCACTGCGCGGACATTTGTGGCGCTGCATTCGCTGTTCTTTGCTGTTCCAAGATAATCGTACAGTGGGTGTTGAACCGTGACCCACTGAGCGTAACAAATACTTTCCCCGATTCGAGTGCGTATGCCATGTTTTCACTAAACCGGTGCTGGCCATCATTTTTCCAAGACGACAAATCCTCGTTCTAAGAAGCGAAGAAGTGGTGAGAGGAAGCAGAGCAGACCATTGAAGGGTATGCTTGTTCAACTAAAGAGAAAAGGTCATGAGACAGTGGCTTCAAACCAGACATAGTAGACCTAATTTATTTAATGGGCCAGCATTGCGTATCAGTCCAGGTACCCCCAAGCCCCATTTAGTGTCAGGTCCCGTCCCCATCCAACTACAGTAATAGTTTTCCAATATGTCTGTAAAATGCCGCGATCAAGAAATTTCGAAACTTCTAGTCGTGTGATGCGTACCGCTGCGCTAAATGCAGGACGGTGATGAAAAGCGAGGACTCACCACTCGTAACTAAAACCAGTCACACCTACGTGTCACCTACTCGAGAACTCACGTGCTGCAACGCAAAGGGACACAGGAACTGACGCGTTTTCCCACTTGATGGACGCATGATCGAAGAATCCCTCCAACGTGAGCTTCGACGGCCCTGGCTTTTCTGACAGCTGGATCACCAGCGCCCACGCAACGCCGTGAAGTCGTGAAGTCGGACCCCCTGCCCAAAAATCGTCTGTTGCTGGACATAATGTGCTCCACACGGACTCATGCAGGCCCAACGTACAATATTTAAGGCCTGATGATAGTCCACGCCACCCGAAGCGGATCTTTCGGGGGATCTTTCGGCCGTGTATCAAGCCAACCGGCACCGATGCGGGCCGTGAAAGAATCACGGCGTCCTTCGACATGCATGGAAGCACGCCGCGTTGTTGCCGCGGAACGATAGGCAACAAGGCCGTACCAAGCTGACTGGAACGCCAAACGGTTCGTCATTAGTCGTGGTGTACGCCGCAACAGGTACGCGCGCGCATAGAGGTTGCTTAGGCACGCCAACCGATGCTGGACTTCGGCACCTCGGGCTCGCCGAGGAGCCCACATATCTCAAACTCGGGGACTTGCATCGCCAGTTGCCACAGGACAGGGGGGGGGGGGGGGGGGGGGGGGGCATCGGCTGCGTCGTATTCCGCACTGTCGCAACGTCTAATTCATCACAATCTTGCATTTTCGGCTGCGAAAATTGCGCCGTTGATCCATGGGGCCATGTGGTTTCCGTCTTTTGATTGTCCCAAGACGGATGCGAGCGGTGATCGCTGCTGCGCTCCGCGGCGCCCATTACTGCGGCGGGTCGGCGCTGGTGCGGCGATGTTTTTTGACCCCGTGACCTTTCGGGAACGAGGCAAGCAGGCACTGTGTCGTAGAGCCCGCGTCCTTCCCCGTCCTTCTCTTTTAAGAAGTCGTTACTTTTGCATGCATTTACGACTGGATGACGCAGCGAGGCCCGACTGAAAGCGGTGAGTAAATGATGACGTTTTTTCCCGAATTTCGCTCTGACCGTTCAACTGAATCAAAGCTCAATAGCGCCGTGCTAGCCGTTTTTCAGTGCCGTGATTACTGTTCGGTAGTTTATTGATGAAACGTATTTCGGCCTCCACATCCCAGAGATTGCCTCAAGCGTCTGAAACGACCGCCGGCGAAGCTGTGAACATCGATCCCAAGTGGGTGCGTACATACATCAGCTACCGCTGTCTGGCAGGAGTCCCGTCATTCAGCGCAGGCCACCTTGGCATGCATATGCATGCATGTGCATGTACGTGACGCTGTCCCAACGCATAGCGTCGCCTTTTTCCACGGATGTTGGGCCTGGGAAAGTTGCAGCGCTATGGTCGGACGAGCCGTACACACGCCCTTCGGCCGTCATTGCCGTCGGTACCCCGCTCAATAACCTATTAAAGCGAAGCAACGACACATTACCTGCCTGGCGGCCCTGGTCGGCCCGCGGGCGACGGGCGCGGTCTGCGGTGCTCCGGCGTGCTTCGGCGGTGCTCCGGTGTGCTCCGGCGTGCCGCAGGCGGTGCTCCCGGCTCGCGTGCTCCGGCGCGCCGGCGGCTCGCCGGCCGGCCAGGCGGCCGCCGCGACCTGCATCGATCTGGGGCCAGGGGCCTCTCAAACGCCGCCACGACGACGGAGCCGGTGGCTCTCAAACTCCGACGGCCGACGCAGACATCGCCAGTCAACACTGCTGAGCCGACGGCCGGGTGGTGGGCGGAGAGAGAGGCAGTGAGAGACGATCTTATGGGGGCGGTGTTGTCGAGCCTGACGGGTCAGCGTCACCGACGAACGCCACCCAATCGGCGTCAAATATGCAGGCATCGTCGGGCCCGGACTCTAAGACGGAGAAAGGTCACGGCTTGACGGAGCAGCGGCTTCCGCATACAGTGCGAACAGCTCTCGATGGTTTTCCCCGAGGGCAAGCCTCGTGATGGTGAGCGTTGAAATACCGCTGTTCGCACGCATTCGTGCTGCAGGTATAAATACCTCATCTACTGCGAAAGGCGTCAAAAACCAATGCAGCAAGTGGTTACGAGACGCAAGCAATAAGCATCGGATTAGATGCAATGATGGGACCGTACTGGCCCGCCCGAGTAGAAAATTAATGCCTTCTCCAGCTGCAGTGGCGGCTGCGCTGCCCACGACTCCGCCCTGAAACAAGACGCTGAAATGCCCGCCTGCCAGCGTCTCAGCACCCCAGCCGGCATTAAGTTAATGGCGCGTGGGTGGACTGCTTCCGGACACCGCCGGCAGCGGCCGGTGGACGCTTGCAAGTCGCCGCTCCGAGGCCTGCTCCACACCGCACCGCCGGGTGAACCCACGTCCCGGTGGACCGTCCGTCCACGTCTTCGTCTCGGTGGACGGGCCGCAAGCGGTCCGGCAAAGCGAGCTGGGTGCTGCTGGCCCCGAGCCGACAGCGTCGCGGGTGAGGGGTCACGGGGTCACACGATTCGTGACAGGTCGCCGGCGTGGCATGGCGCCCTGTCGCTGGCGGTGCGGGGCTGGCGCGGAGGACCCCGTGCTGAGGTCCATCTCTGTCGGGGGGGGGGGGGGGGGAAGGGGGGGGGGGCGTGACGGCGGCCGCCAGTGCTTCCAGCACGGGCCGGCGCTGGCATGACTAACGAATGACACGCGACACGTGCGGAAGCGGCCGCATCACGTCCCGACGAAATCAGGGCGATGCTGACGCTCTCCGGTAAAACGCGCCCGCTTCGGCGGTTTTGCCGCGTAGGCGGCGCTTGTCATTCTCCGTCGCTGCGGCTGGTAGTGAACCCAACAGCAAAACTGGACCGTCTATCCCCAGCGGAGTTGACCGGCGCTCGCGGAAGCGTCTCCGCTGTTTGTTGCCAGACGTGACTGCAGTCCTAACTCCCAATCCTCATCAAGCCGACCTCACTCCTGCTTCTTGCTTACCCCCCAGGCGGAAGCTGAGGTCCTCAAGCCTGGTGCCTGCCCGATCCGTCCTGTATGTCATTAATGATCGGCCCATGCCGCCCACGCCCTGATTGGCGCGTGGGTGGGACCCTCCGCAGCTGATTGGCTGGTCGCGTGCGTGCGGCGCACCGGCGCGCGGGGACGGGCGTACCGTGGGACTTTGCCGAGCTAGTCACTGCTCGAGAGCAGCTCGCGCGGCGCTGGAGATGAATGGACCTGTGCGCGACGCTAACCGTCGGGTCGGCCGAGTCGCGGTCGATGGCTGCGGTCGATGTGCATCACGTGTCGACGTGAGATTAGAGCAGGGAGGCGGTGTCCCCGGGATGACCGAGCACGCACGGGGGTAGGCTTCTGACCAGAGGCGGGATGGTACACCTCCAGCACCTCCTTGACCTTTTTAGCTTTGAGAACGAAGTGAGCCAAAGCCGGTGAAAACCCGTCTTTGGCATAGTTTGGGAGCAGGCTGAGCCGTTCTGTCCTGCTCCCCCCCCGGACTTATTTTACGAAACTGCATCTCTGTAAGCATGACGCAGGGTGGGTAGGTGAACAACACAACGGGCAGCAGCACCGAGGTAACACATGAGACGCTAGACATGAGTATGCAGCCGCCAAATGCAGGCAGCAACCTGGCTCTCTGGGGCCAGGCTGGCATGGTCCCTCAAGCACCGTAAGTAAGAAAAAGATTGCGGACGAGTTCTGAACCTAAAGACAAATTTGTGGAGTTATGTCGTCAAAAATGGGAGAGGAAGGTAGCCACGGTACCGGGAACTGCGGTCGAAAAACATTTATTATAGCCTCGGGGAACGCATCGAACTGGACACATTGTGCCGCAGCTCACTTTGACATTTGGCGGTCTTTATGCCGGTGGCAAATGGCTCAAACGAGCGGAATTCACGCGATAAGCACCATACGTGAGCCCCGTTGTCAGCTGGGTCTCTTCAAAGAGATGTGCTCGCGCGAACACGCTCCGCAGCCTCAACATAAGAACACACTTAACATCATCAAGGGTGTGATGCAGTACGGCACGGTCCCCGCCACCAGTTTGTGTCGTGTCCTGATTTCGGCACCCTAGAAGAGCGTTGGAACCACCACGCCGATTTCATGTCTGGCGTGTTGTAAGTGTACGCGCATATATATATATATATATATATATATATATATATATATATATATTGTACGTAACAGTAGCCCCGAAAGTCATTTGTAAACATGCAGTTAATGTGATGACGTCAAACGAGGTCCATTCAATTCGGGTGTTGTTTATTATTGCATGGCGCGTGCAGTCGCGGCGGCCACCGGCAGCGTAACATCACGGCGACACTCGAGCGTCACGGAAAACGCTAATCCACTTATCAGCCTCCAACCCACGCCTAGAGACGAGGCCGCGGGCCACGGCACTCTCTCCCGAATAATCTGTGCCACCCCGTATCGAAGATGCGTTAAATCCAAGTTAGCATCGGTCTGCGACAATCGTACGTGTCGCAGACTGGCGTTGCGGCCGTAAGCCACGTTTCGGAGTCTGGAACAAGCACGTGTATTTCAGCAAACGCATAATGGACGCGCGTCGGCCTGCCTGCACTGCACTGTGCAGGCTGCACCGCACTTCTGGGCGCATGGTCCCAGAAAAACTCTTCCGCAATGACGGCTGTTGACCAAGTAACGATGGAGTCATTTGAAATAAAGGATTTGTCGAACCAAAATTCTACCATGAATTCTGAAGGGTGGCAGAATCACAGTGCTCAAAGAAAGGGGAAAAAAGAAGAACTCGAAAAGACAGGCGCAGGCAGAAGGGAGTTGGGCTTCATCAGCCACCTGCTTTTGCCGCTGCCGTAAAGACTGCCGCTATCCCGGCCCGTCGTCCGCCTTCGTCACCACACAGCCCACCGCAAACGAGTCTATATTGCGTCGTTTACACGGAGGGAGCGCGGTCCGCCGGCGGACCGGACCGGACCGGGCCGCCACACTCGCCACACAGCCGCCACCTGACCCGCCCAGCAATGCCCCGAACAAACAACAACGCGGATAAATAGCTGAACACGGCCGGCGCAGGGAGTCAGCTGACGCTCCCGCCTGCGATGCAAGCAGCGGACGCCCGCAAAACGAGGCCGGCCCCGGACAACCGGCGTTCAGCAGGGTGGCATCTGTTGGCGCCCGACAGTAGCCACACAGCGGCCAGCTCACGTTCGCGCCGGACAGCCCGTGCTCGCGCCCAAAAGCCCCCGTGTCCACGGTGGACAGTGCCTCTGTTCGCCGATCAGGACCGCTTGACGTCGCGGGCGCAAGGACGCGGTTGCCAACGCAACGCGGCAACGTTGCGTCACCTCGGACCAATCACAGAGCCGGCCGACGTCCATTGACCAATCAGAACCATACGAAACCGATTGGGCCAATCACAAAGTCGGCTGACGTCACCCTGGACCAATCAAAACCGTCCGACCCGCCTCGGGCCAATCACAGCGCCGCACGCGTCGCTCAGACCGTCTGCTGCGGTTGGGAGGTGCCGCTAGCGGCCGGCTGCCGGAACATCATGCTCGAAATCTGAAACGGAGGGGCCGCGTCATCAGGTCAGATCAGGTTCAAGTCAGGCCAGTGACGGGGCTGTCACAGCATGACGCCCTGAAGCGGCCGGGCCGAGCAGCGCCACAGGAGCTAACTGGCAGCTCGCGCCCTCCGCACAGCATGCCAAACGGCTGAACGAACACTGAAGCCGGATGAGCGCCGCACTGGGGTGCGTTCAATACAGCCGGAGTTCCGAGATATCGGCCGTGTTGACCGCAGACAAACACCATCCATCAAATCCGGCAGGCCGAGTCAGACCATCAAAGTCGAGGCCAACTGCAGGCCGGAATAGGGTACACAGCCGGCTCGCGACCCAGACCAAAGCCAAGCTTCGCTCGGCGCTGTTGCTTTGGTGCAGATGCTTCAAGCGCTAGGAAGTGAGGGAGATATCTGCACAGCAAAAGCTTAAGTGCACCGGCTAATCGGAGACTTTCCGTGAAATCGCCGCATTTCCGGTAGCCTCGCTGCGCCACTCCTTACTGCCTAAGCGTTAATGGTATAACAACTAACCACCAGACTTTGATACAGCCGGCATGACAACGACAGCAAGAGCGCGCAAGTAGCACGATGAAAAGCCCACCGACCACAAATTATCCCCACATGTGATATAAAAAGCGGGACCACAATTGCGCGCCAATAGGCACCGCGGTGAATGGCGGGAAAATAGCGCGCTTGGGAATGGCGGGTACGCCGCAATGCCGAGCACTGATTAGTTTGAGCCGGTGCTTAAAGCGAGAAATAAAATCGTGGTCAACATGGAATGGACGGGGAGGTGGGCGGGGAGAGGGCATTTACTGACTAGAGGATATCCCACAGCTTCACGTCAATATCGGTTGCGAAAAAGGCCCGTTTCCGACAATCTGATGTCATCTAAACCGTCATAGTCACAAAATGATACGCATAATTTGCCGCCCCAAGGGCAAAAACCAGCCGCTTACGTTCCTTCTCAGTCACCTCACTCGCAGCGCACAGTTGCCCGTGGTCAACCGCCTCGCGCCCGCCCCGACCAGACAGCACTCACTGGCCGTGGCCAGCCCCTCGAGCCGCCCGACCAGACAGCACTCACTGCCCGTGGCTAGCCCCTCGCGCCCGCCCCGACCAGACGGCACTCACTGCCCGTGGCCAGCCGCCTCGCGCCCGCCCCGACCAGACAGCACTCACTGGCCGTGGCCAGCCCCTCGAGCCGCCCCGACCAGACAGCACTCACTGGCCGTGGCCAGCCCCTCGCGCCGCCCCGACCAGACGGCACTCACTGCCCGTGGCCAGCCGCCTCGCGCCGCCCCGACCAGACAGCACTCACTGGCCGTGGCCAGCCGCCTCGCGCCGCCCCGACCAGACAGCACTCACTGCCCATGGCCAGCCGCCCCGCGCCGCCCCGACCAGACAGCACTCACTGGCCGTGGCCAGCCGCCTCGCGCCGCCCCGACCAGACAGCACTCACTGGCCGTGGCCAGCCGCCTCGCGCCGTCCCGACCAGACAGCACTCACGTTTTTCATGACCTGGTCTCGCATGAAGCTGGTAGTGGCGGCGCCCAGCGACGTCTGGATGCCCTGGCTGGAGCCGTAGCGACACCGCAGGTAGCCCGTACACGTTGGCACCGTTCAGGACTATCCCGATTGCCGGCAGCACCTGGCGGCACGGGCGCGTCATCTGGCATCGTCTGGCAACACGGCGCCCGCCGCCTGGTGGCAACTAGCACAACGTGATCGACGTGCCTTCGCTGTGCCACGCCTGATAGTGACGCTCGATTCGTGACGCTTTGTACCACAAACGCTATCCAGTGGATCTCTGATCTGACAAGCAAGCTACAGCGTTCTCGCGCCGGCTTTCAATTCACAACCCAAAACTGAGATCAGAAAGGCGTTCAAAACCGCATTTGGAGGTCACGTGCTCAACACAAAAACATGTACTACAATATTTTATGACACAATGAAATACAATTTCACCGACTAACCCTACTTCCAGCCTACATCCCTACCTACCAGCCCCACCACCCGCTACCCCCAGCGCGGCTGGGCGGCGGCGCGTGCTCGCGCCTCCGCCCAGCCCGCGCTCCCAGCACCGGCCGCCGATGCAGCGCCAGCTCTCACCATCCAGGCGTAGGTGAAGCTGAAGAATGCGAAGATCAGGAGGATGACCCAGAGCACAGGCGAGGCGTAGAGCGCCGCCCAGAAGATGCGGGCCTCGGCCGCGTGCACCCGGCTCTGTTGGAGGCCCTGCCGTTAACGCCGCGGTCAGTGGCAAGCCGCCGCACCGCAACACGACAGGGGGGGGGGGGGGCACAGGGAGGGGGCACGGGGAGGGGGAGGGCAGGAGTGGGGAACGGGGAGAGCACGGGGACACAGGCGGACACGCGTCAGAAGAGCACATAGCACATGGCCGCATGGGGGACGAGGAGACTCATGACAGGACCACAGGGGAACGGAGCGACAGGAGCAGCAGCACCAGCACGCCAGCACATCACAGCATCAAAACAGCAGGAGAACACAGGAGCACAGGCCAGAACAAGGCGACACCGGGCCATGACACAAAGGCACTCGGGGACCGCAGCGACGTGCAAACGCAAAGCACCGTGGCAACACGCCGGCAGAGCAGACCAGACCCAACGACCGCACTGGGTCAAGGCAGCACCACGACAGGACCGAGAAAACCTGCCACCGCGGCATCGTGAGGGGCCTGTACCAACACAATACGGCCGGCGACCGGGTCAGCCGGTGGCCGCGTGCCGCCCCGTCGCACATACGCGGCGGCACGCGGCGCGAAACGGAGCGGCGCGCGCAAACGGCGCCGACCAACGGGCGACAGGACGCGGCGAGGCCCGTCACGGCACCGGCTCGCGGTTGACGCCGGCCGGAGGTTAGCGGACGGGTGTGGGAGCGTCGCGTGGCGGCACGTGCGCCGTCTGTGCCGTCTCCAGACCGGCGGGAGACAATTCAGCGTGCGGCTGCCGCGGCGACTCGACGGCAAGGCAACACTGGACCAGGCCCCGAGCCGGACTCCGGCCGTCCCACTCTGCCCCCCCCCCTTCCCCGCCCCCCGGCTGCCGGCCGGCCCGGACGCCGGGGGCGAGGGTCGTGACGCACCTTCCGCGACTCGTAGACCCAGTGACTGGTGCCGTCGTCGTCGACGTAGTTCCACCAGCGCAGACCGACCATCAGCCGACCTGGCGGGTCAGCGGGCCGTCAGGCGGCGGCGAATTCGGCATGGCGACGTCACGCACAGTGTGTCGGCTCACAGCGGAGGGCGGTCACAGCGGAGGGTGGTCACAGCGGAGGGTGGTCACAGCGGAAGGTGGTCACAGCGGAGGGTGGTCACAGCGGAGGGTGGTCACAGCGGAGGGTGCTCACAGCGGAGGAGGGTCACAGCGGAGGAGGGTCACAGCGGAGGAGGGTCACAGCGGAGGGCGGTCACAGCGGAGGGTGGTGACAGCGGAGGGCCGGTCACAGCGGAGGGTGGTGACAGCGGAGGGCGGTCACAGCGGAGGGTGGTGACAGCGGAGGCGTCCTCGCGCTTACGCGGGCCGCGATACGCGTCATACCATTCAGGCACGTGCCTGGAGCCCACAAAAGATGCCATGTTCCTGTTAAAACACAATGGTACGGAATCCTGGATCCTGTTGGGATCCAGGCACATGCCATACAGCACTCACATCACGCGCATTTGGTAGACCGACGGGGATACAATGAAACGCAGGAGGAAAGTGAATACTGAGCTGGTCATACATGCCAGAAATGATGCCTAACAACCATACATCAGGGGCATGGCTTCAAGAGACTGGTTTTGAAACTGACTTGAAGTTATTCAACATAATTTGAATACAAAACAAGTCCAGAAAGGGGAGCGCACGACACGACCGCTGGCTCCTGCTTGCACCTGTGATGTTTTTAACTGTCCAGAAGTCTGCTGACAGCAGCAAGATGATGATGATGATGAAGCAGCTGATGAAGCCTTGGCCCAACCAGTTAGCCAGGATGTACACGATGATAGCTCCGAACCGGAACAGCAGGTTGAAACAGCGTGACGAAGGGGTGCCTGCCACATCAATCACAGCATGGTTAGATGGCGCGTGATAAGGCACACAGCACAAAAAGATGGGGCATGATATAGCATGCACACAGCACACTTAGATGGGGCATGATGTGGCACACATGGGTGCATGCTGGCCCTGGCAGAGGTCAGGTGCATGGCACATGGTGGCCATGTCAGGTTGACTGCAAGTAACATGAATGAAATGATACTGATACTGATGATACTGATACTGATACATACTGATAATGAAATGATACTGAGAGGTGTCTGTAACCTGAGCAAGAGGCCATATGAATTGATCATGGCAAGAGTGAATATACAGTCTGCTAGGAAATGGGGAGTCAAAACATAGCTGATAAATGGACCATGACCAGACCCAATCACACGGAGGTGGTGAATGCCACAACGTTCCCTTTTGAGTTGGGTGTCAATTCTAGCAAACAAAATTGATAGTGCTCTCTTTGGATGCTGTTTGGCAACTCCTGCCAATGGACATTGAATGGAGAGATACATTCTGAATAGGCTCAACTCCTGTCCTTTTACCTTTGCCAACAATAACAGCTGAATGGTTGACATTCATGATATTAGCTTACTTTAATTTCCCATGGTCTTCATTCTCTTCTCCAAATGCAGGGGTGTCATCATCATCCAGAAGGGGTGCCTGCAACATAAAAATGTGTGCCCAACACTCATCTCAGTACATATCCTGAGTCATCCTTAAATAATTCACCTAGTTTTGAATCATCTGGCCTATAACTAGTTGTATTCCTTTTTGACATCAGTGCTAAATATGCCACCAACTCTGTTCAAAAATGTTCATCTACATATTGCCATGGCTAACAAAAGTATGTTACAGACAATAATGCCATCAAAATATTGCATATTTTACACACCACTGCACCTTAGTGCTGCAGTATCTTTACAAAAATAATAATTTTACTGCATTAATGATTTGCTGCAGATGTATTCACATGTCAGGCCTTGAAATCCATATGCTGCTGCACACAAAGGCACATAAAAAGCATGCTACCCTTGTGGCCCAAACTTGGAAAATCTTCACAGATTGTTCCACCAAAATGGCTGCAAATTTTGTGGAACACATAACTGATCTCCCCACTGAGTTTTTCATTGATCGGGACTGCAAACTGCATCCATTACAACTTGACCTTTCCTAGATTAAACACCAGTGTCCCTGTTATTTTATGCTTGAATTCAGGGGAATATGCATAATGCATGCACTTGACCTGCAAATTCAGGGCAAAAATGTGAAATGGGATAGCATCAAATGCACTTAGCATATGCCTCACATATGAAGTTAACCATCACCAACATGCAAAGACACATACATTTAGCCAATCTCTGAATTCACAAGGCATTCATACAACAATGTGCACGTCACATACCACCGTAGTTTACTCACATTTGATGCCATGGATAACAGCTATGAAGTGCAGGGCTGTGTTTCACAGATCCCGAACAGCTGGTAAAATCGAACAATTCGTCTCTCGCTGGTATAAGTCGCGATACTTCGTCGACACAAAATAAGAGATCGGCACCTGTTCTTATGCCCCAAAACTATTCGCGTCCACCTTTCGCCATCAACAGAAGCCAACTATACAAAAAATGGATCAACGTCTAGGGGAGCTTAGTCGTCTTGTGGTTTTATATGTCCTGACACTACCTTATCCCCCATTAGTTCGTTAAACATCCCATCCAGGGGCACTCCCTATGCACTTTATCCCAAACAGGATTCCACGCCGTCAATCGTAGTCATTGAGGATTGTGTTGGTAAATTCTGTTGACGTCTACATGAGTGCAGCATTTCATTGGTGTGTCCATGGTGATTTCACAAACAACTGGTGTCAATAAAATGCCTGATAACATCCATTTGAAGAACATTTTTGATATAAAGAAATATTTTCATAGCAATTCTTATGCATGTTGTTCTATGAAAACTGATGACATTCCAAAATGCTATATATCATTTTAGTGTTACGTCATTTCCAAACATTTCACTTTTCAGAGACAATGTCTGCTCTGCGTAGGATACGGATACATTGTCATGTTATCTTTCGCAGGACGTTCGGGGCTGCCAGGTGTCCACAGAGTTGCCCGAGTGGTATGGGCAGCGGGGGATAGCAGAGTAGGAAGTTCCAAAATGGCTAGTTGAGGCACCCGTCCGATAATAAGGATATCGCACGTAATCCGAATGATGTTTGATTGTTGATAACATCCACGTTGGGATGAAGCAAGCTCAGAACACATTTTGAAACGTATACGGTTGTGAGGGATTGGTCCGGATAGTTTCCTACAAACCGCTGGCAATGTGTCTTCAGAATTCGTCGTGGATTCCTTCAAATATTTTGTGCTAGGCCCACTGGGTCTCTGTGCATTATATTTCTTCCCACATCAGGGAGAGGAGTTGGCTGAAATACATAGAGGCCAGCAAATATTGTGTATCCATGGTGTCAGGAACAACTGATAGGTCCACAAAACAACTGAATCCTTTTATTTTATGGGTTTCAATGTCTTCTTGAGATTTTTTATGGTCAATGAGAGTTTTGGATATGCATCTGGCAATGCTTCATGTTTTGAAACAGTTTCATCCACTTATGTCATGGTTCTGGCTTTCATGACAAATGTGTGATAGCAAATCACGCTGGCATAGTATTTCAGCTTATGAGAACTTTTCAGCTTCATCAATTTTTGTGTCACATCATGGAAAACCAGCTTGACACATTATCTTTTCAATGTTTTGTTTTAATGTGTTTCACTCCTTCCACAGAAAATTCCAGTTCACATTCACACACCCACCAATGGAAGACCTGGAGGCAGAAAACGGCAACATTGCCCAGCGTCTCACCGAGTTCCTGACGCTGGCCTCGCGGGACCAGCTACTGGTGGCGCTGGTGACCTCAGGCGGCACCACAGCGCCCATTGAGCAGCGCACAGTCCGCTTCTTGGACAACTTCAGCACGGGCCAGCGCGGCGCCGCGTGCGTCGAGCAGCTGCTGGCGCGTGGCTATGCCGTGCTGCTGCTGCGCCGGCGCGGCTCGCTGGCGCCGCACGCGCGCCACGTGCGGCCGGCCGAGCTGCTGGCCGGCCTGGAGGAGGGCTCTGACGGTCGCTGGACTCTGGGCGAGGCGGCGGCGCGGCGGCTGGCGGCGCCGGCCGAGGCGGCGCGACGCGACGGCGCCCGTCTAATGACGCTGCTCTTCACCAGTGTGGACGAGTACCTGGCGCTGCTGGAGGCCGCGGCCGGCGCGCTGGCGCCGCTCGGACGGCGTCTACTCCTGCTGCTCGCTGCTGCCGTCTCCGACTTTCAGGTACAGTGCCACCTTGCGTTCCGTTTATGCTGACGTGGAGAGTGTTGACGGAAATGTGGTATTGAAATGTTGAATCCGGCACAGCGGACAAGAACTGAATATGTTTGCAGTGCATCGTGTATTTTATCATGTGCACTGTGTTCATATGAAGCCTGGTATGTGCATGACACATCTCGTATGTCGGGTTTGCGCCAGAAAAGACAGTTCAAGCTCCACAACATTGCTCAACCGCCCGCGAATATTACCACATGTGGCATTTAAATTCACAACTCCCAACTCCGCGCAGCGCTCACGCCGCACCGGTGCTCTCCAGGTGCCGGCGGAGGAACGTGTCGAGCACAAGGTCTCCGGCGGGGACCAGCCGCTGACGCTGCACCTGCAGCCCGTGCCGAAGGCGCTCGCCCGGCTCACTGCCGACTGGTGTCCGGCCGCCTTCGTCGCCACCTTCAAGCTGGAGACGGACGAGCGCGTGCTGGTGGCGCATGCGCGCGCCGCCCTCGCCCGCTACTACGGCACCAGCTGGTGGTGGCCAACCTGCTGCAGACGCGACGCCAGCGCGTTACCATGGTGACGCCGGCGGCGGCGGACGCGGTGGAGCGCCGCGGCGACGCGGAGCTGGAGGAGGCGATCGTGGCGGACTTGGTGCGGCGGCATCAGGAGTTCGTGGACGGGGCTCAGACTGGGGTGAAGGCTGAGGAGCGGCAGCCCTGTTAGCGTGTCGCGGCCCCTGGAACTAGTCTTTTGATGAGCTTATACAGTGTCTGTGTCAAGAAAAGGATGACGGTTTCATCGTACCAAGATAATGTAAGACACACCACCATGATATGACGAGAGCGGATGGAGAACCTCGCATACATTGCGTTTAATCACAGAAATCGTTTGTTCAGTTTCATATATAAGATTAAGCCATATGTCTAAAGGGTGATAGCCTTGTGCGTAGGGTGTATACTGCCCTCACTTGCCGACATATGCTTGACTGGCCTCCGTTGGAAGAATACCGAGATGACTCTGGCCGCCGCTGTGTGCGTCGGTTGGCCGGCGTCCGTGATCATGTACTGCCGCCACTGTTCTGCGGGCGGATGTTTGTGCTGATTCAGCGACCGAAGTCCGCGACGTTTTTGAAGCGGTTTCTTCCGAATGATTTGCGTGGTTGCGTCGGGTTTAGAGTACCTGTTAAGCAAAGCTTGCTGCACGTGCCTCTAATTAACTACTCGTGGTATGCCGTGCAGATCATTGGATAATACTGCCTCCGCCCTTTCACCAGACAGGGTAAGAGGGGTTTCCGACGGCCGTAGCTCGGGTCACGGATGGAGCTACGGTCGCGTGGATAGGCGATTGATTCCAGAACAGCGTCACCGCTGACCAGTGTCATGTCAAGGCCAGATGTCAATCCATCATGCGGGAAATATCCCACCGATGAACGTGTCTGTCGTGTTTTTATCCACGAACGCGTGTCCACGCGCAGCCAAACAGCCATCGGACCGGAGGCCGTGTATTGCCATGACGCTCGACGCCGCACATCAGACGGGGGCCCGGGAGAGGGCACACGAGCGCCGCACCTGCCCGGGAGGCACACGAGCGCCGCACCTACCCGAGGGGGCACACGAGCACCACACCTGGCCGCGGGGACACACACGTGCCACGCCTGCCTGAGGAGGGCACACGATCGCCGCACCCGCTCAGGGAGAGCACACCGGGTTAGACTCTCCAACGGCGCGGGGGCCGCGGGGGCCCCGGGAGGTGGAGGTTCACGGGTACAGCAATTAGACGGCAGGGTGACTGACGAAGGCCTGGGGCGTATGGGAACATCGTCGCGTCGCAGGGAGAAACGCAGCGGCGACGCGCGTGGGAGCGAGGACTGACCCCGGTCGTGGGACGGGTTCGAGTCGTTTCCCACGCCCGAGTCATCGCACGGGGCGAGTCCTCTCGCGCCCCGAGTCACACCGAGAGGTTCTAGTCGTGTCGCGGCCTAAGCCGCACCCACGCGGAACCTTTACGGGGCGGGTGACGGGAGGGGACGCCACGAAATCAGTCAAGCCCTCATACCTCTTCCCCTCCCCTCCGACGTCCTCCGTTTAACTACGACCCGCACAGAAGTTCAAAGGGCGAACTAATCGTAAGGTAGCCACAGCATCGAGGCCGGTGCAAAGAAAGACTGGAATGGGAATAGTACCGGCACGTAAGCGGCGTATCGCACACGGATAGCTTCGGCCGATTGTGGAAGGCGTCAGCTAAAAAAAATATGTGACTAAATATGATTCTCACAACACGGAGAGCGACTCCGCTCGTGACCAAAAAACGCCGTGCACAATCTGTCACACGATCACACGAAAATGGGATATGTTAAACTAACGTACACACCGCACATAAATAAGCGACCGAACATCTAGGTGACTCACGCCAGCGAGAGAAAACAATATCAGACGGCGGCGAATGTCAATAAGTACAAATGCTATCACAAATCGCACAATCAAAGATCACAGCTTCGAGAGACGGGCCAGGCGCGCAGCACAGTCACGCGGTCGAGCGAGAGTGCTGGCCAGACCGCGGGCCAGGCGTGGCGGGGGTAGAGCCGGTGCGGAAGGCACCGGGCAATAGGCCGTTCACCTCTCACCACCACGCGGTCTCTGCGGATGCCGTCTCCGTGGAGAGAAGAGGGCGGCGGGCTGGGCTGGAATGTGCGCGATCTGAACTGACCCTACGGGTTACGTCGCGAGACGACGGCTGGGAGGTGACGAGCCACGGGATCCCGCGTGGCGCGGGCTCTGCGTGGCCCTGGCACGGCACTGGGAGCAGGGCGGCCCATGCAGCTCGCGTCTCTTAAGCTGACACCCATGGCGACCTCCTGGACCTTGTGATTCAGCACTGCCACCTGCGTGACGCGCTGGCAGCAGCAATGGCCCAGCCCAGGCGGCTACTGCGAACATTTCCGACGCGTTACAGCACTGCGCGCAACCTACCGCTGTTCGAGACTAGGTTAGGGAGCCACCAACTCACTGCGACTAGTACACAACGCCTAAAAACGTTAACAGACGTTTTGATACATAATTTCGTCTTCATGCAGCACATCCATGAGTTCCGAATGTAAGTCAGACAACATACGATGGTCTAAAATACTGCCCGATAACATCCACGTCCAGACGGTAAAACGGGAATGCCTCCGCCAAACCCCTCCATTCACAGTTCAACCGCCCTCAGAAACAAAAACGAAACCGTACCAGCGGCTCAGCAAACCCCGGCGTCCAGCTGGTGACACCGACCGACACTGACTGTCCAAACCGACACCGGGCCTGACACTGGCGGCCGGCGGCGAGACGCTCCGGGCGCCCAGCACCCACGGCGCCCGGCCGGCCTCAGGGGCGCGCTGCGTCCCCTACCGGCGGCTGGCGGGCTCAGTGACGTCACCGCCGAGCTGACGCGGCGGGCGGCGAGCGCGCCAGGCCACCGTCCACCGCCGGTGCGGCCCGCCGACCGGACCGGCCGACCCGGCCACCCGCCGCTGCCGTCGGCGGCCATCACCGCGTCGCGTCCCGCTCCCGCACACTCCCACGCCGCTCCAGCCCGGAGCAGAGGGCGGACGCGCGCCCTCGCCGCGGGCGGCCGCTCAGGCCGAGAAGAAGAAGTTGAGCGCCCGGTTGACGTCGTAGTCGGCGGCGAGCACCACGCGGATCAGCTCGGCGCGCGCCACGTCCTCGCCGACGATGCTGCGCAGCCGCTGCAGGCACGCCTCGAGGCGGCCGCCGGCCGGCGGGCCGGACTCCTCCTGCGAGCTCGACGACGAGCGCGACGTCTGGCGGCGGCGATGGGAGCTAGCGTCAGCGGCCGACGACGGCCGGCGCAACGAGGCGGCGGCGGCGACGGTGGGAAGGAGTGTGGGCAGTGGCCGGGACCGTGCGTGTCCCCTGGGACCATGTCTGAGCCCAGGAGTGTAAGACGGTCCTGCTGATGAAGCCAATCACTAGCTGCCACCAGATGATCACTGTCTGTCGCTGCTGGTGTGTGGTTTTTCACATATGACCTGGACATGAACTAAATGCAAACATGTGTCATTTCCACCGTCAAAGCACTGGGCTGAGCGCCTTGCAAGCCTACTGCAAATAATGACATAATGTGACGCCGTCCAAACCGTCCAAGTATCGACCGCCCGCGACAGTGGTGGGTGTTGACCTCCCGCTGTTGCGGTGCAGCAGGCCCGGCCGCGCCGCTCGCGCCGCCTCACCTCTCGCAGGTGGATGCCGCGCGTGAGGTTGACCAGCTCCTCGGCAGAGTCGCCCGGCGACTCCGGCGCCGGGCGGGGGCCGCTTGTGGGAGGCGTCACACTCCAGGTGCGCCCTGTCGGCCACACGCTCGGGTCAGCGGCACACGTCACACGCGGGGTAAGGTCCGGGGTCAGGTCAGCTGAGGCGCACGGCCAACAGACTTGCAACAGGACGGCCGGGTCAGACGGTCAAACATCGGGTCGCGGTCGCGTCACACACCACGCATCGTGCATGGATTGGGCGTGGGGCCGGGGTCACCGATCAGGTCAGGGTCACACGGTCGCCAGTCAGGCCAGCGGCCCACTGGACCTAAGTTTGTTCGGTTATTTAAGGACCTGAGATCGGCCGGCACCTCACCACACGTCACCAACACCACGTCTCCACTGATGCCCAGACATGGCGCGGGACCGTACCGACTGCCGACCGCGGAGCGGCACCTGCCGCCTGCCGTCCCGCCCCGCCCCGCCCCGCCCCGCCCCGCCCCGCCCCGCCCCGCCCCGCCCCGCCCCGCCCCGCCCCGCCCCGCCCCGCCCCGCCCGCCCCGCCCCGCCCCGCCCCGCCCGCTCCGCCCCGCCCCGCCCCGCTCCGCCCCGCTCCGCCCGGCGGACCGACCTGGGCGGCGCCCATACGGCCGTCTCCTCCACCTCGGCCTGCAGGCTGGGGCTCAGCTCCAGGAACAGCTCCGTCTGCACCACCTCCGGGTTGGTGGCGACGAACTCCAGCGCAGAGCTCTGCCGCACGAGCGACCGCAGGTCGGGCTCGGCCGGCGGCTGGACACGCCCGGGGGCGGCACAATGACACCGCGTGACCTGTTCTGAGCACCATGACGCGGCGGTGCTCCAGCCTGAGTGTGGCGATCGGCAGCTACACGGACAATGCGTGACGCGACGGGAAGCGGCGCGCCCAGGGCACAGCGACAAAAGGTAACCAAGGACCCACGCGGCGCCGTGCGCCCCGGCAAACGGATCCTATGTAGACGCATTCGCAGGGGCGTTTTGAGCTATTGATGGCTATTGATGGCTATTGAGCTGTTGATCGACGCTACCTTCAGCTTGCGTGCGTTGTACTGCTCGGCGATGCTGAGCAGACAGAAGACCGAGTCCTCGTCGATGTGCGTCTCCAGCAGGGCCTCGCACGAGTGCTTCAGGTCGTCCAGCTCGTACCTGCCAATGGGCCGTTGCGTTACAGCGACGCCGGCCAATCAGCATGGTTCCCACAGTGGTTGCGACCAATCAGTCACGGCCATGACGGCGTCGGCCAATGAGCAGAATAATCACGGCGACGGAAACCGACCAACGTAATGACCACAGCGGTTCCGACCAATGCAGCACAGAGCAGCACTCGCATCAGTCAGTCGGTGACAAGGGCAACATGATGGCGAACAACACGCACGGCAACGAAGCGACATCGGCCAATCTAAAACGGCGCACCAGCAGCGTCCGCCAATCAGAAGGCGACAATACGTTCAGTCGCTAACGGCCGGTCTTCGCCAAGACTCCAACTGAGAGCGCAGAGACTGAGAGCGGAGGATGAGAACAGGCTCCGTCTGAGAGCAAATAGACTGAAATCTGACACTGTGACGAGACTCTGCTTGAGAGCAACTCTAATGAGCCGAGACTGAGAGCAGACTCCGACAGAGAGCACACACTGAGAACAGACTCCAACCAAGAGCACAGGGACTGAGGACTGAGACTGAGGCGAGATTCCGACTGCGGGCCGCCGAGACTGAGATCTGGGGTCGAGAACAGGCTCTGAAAGCAGAGACCGATAACTGAGACTGAGATAAGACTTCAACTGAGAGGGCAGAGACTTAGACCAGAGAGTGGGAACATACTGAGGACACGGACTGAGAACATGCGCCGACTGAGAGCACAACGACTGGGGATTGAGAACAAACTACGACAGAGAACACAGAGACTGAAGACTGAGACGAGACTGGGAACACACTCCAACTGAGAATAACAACTGAGTACAGACTCCAA